ATGCAACAAATTCTGGGTGCAGATTACAAATACGATAGCCAAAGTTTTGAGGGATGAATGAGGACGAGCTGGGCGTGGTGAGCTGGAAAGGTGCGTGGCCCTTGCCTTCCTATAGCACCCAAACCCAAATCAGTGCTACCATCCTACTATGTTCTCTGTCAGAGCAGCAAAGCCCAGTCCTAAACACTGGGCTGCCTGGGAATTCCCAGGCAAGAGATCTAGATCTCATGATGTTGGTTGGATGAGGAGGGATGGTTCTGGGTATGTTACTTTACAAAGAAGAAGCCTGGTTCACTGACCTCGAAGGGCCATGATCTCTATATACAATGGAATACTACTCAGCCATAAAAAGAATGGAATAATGTTGTTTGTAGCAACATGGATGGAGCTAGAGATTAACATACTAAGTGAAGTAAGTCAGAAAGAGAAAGACAAATACTGTATGATATCACTTATATGTGGAATATAAAGCATGACACAAATGAACTTCTTTGCAAAACAGAAACAGACCTGCAGACATAGAGAGCAGACTTGTGGTTGCCAAGGGGGAGGGGATGGGGGAGGAGAGTTGGAATTTTGGGATTAGCAGATGCAAATTATTACATACAGGATGGATAAAGAAGGCCCCACTGTATAACATAGGGATATTCAATATCTTCTGATAAAACATAATGGAAAAGAATATGGAAAAGAATGTGTGTGTGTATATACATATAGGTATATATATATATAATCACTTTGATGTACAGCAGAAATTAACACAATCTGTAAATCAACCATACTTCAATAAAATACATTTTTAAAAAGGGAATGAGTATGATTTTGGTGAATTCACCACAGTGCAGGACCAGGCTCTGAATTTTGCTGGTTTAGAAACATGAGCTTGTCAATGTTTCAGAACTGACATGTTTTGTAGGTACTGATCCATATGAATGGGGTTCAACAGCAACCAATACACAAATCCTGAACAAGAATTATACAAAATGTATTTAAGGGCATATCAGTCTTCCCCAGATCTGTTTTTCAAATAACTTTTTGAACCCCAACTGAATGCTGAACCCTGTGCTGGGTGCTAGGGACACAGAGATAAATTAGATACAGGCTTTGCTGTCTGAGAGCTCCCTAATTTAAGTGTTTGTTGGGTGTGGGCAGACACCTTCCCTCTGTGAAATCACACAGCTTGAGAAACCAAGTCATAGTCAGGAGGCAACTTGCTGAGGGTGAGACAAGAACAAGGGAGATTGCTTGGAGGCTGGACTGCACGGTGGTGTCTCTGACAGCCTGGGTCCCGCTTTACTTGGTGGGGAGAACTGGATCCTGGAGTTGAGTTGGCACAGCCACTGTTCCCGTGCAGTTCTGCAACCCAGCACTGCCACTGCTGGCCTCAGAGGCTCTTTGCACTTTTATGGCTGCCCATAGTCCCTTAAAGCAGGACCTTTTCTCTGTAGACGGTTCCCCTCTTATGGAAAATCTCCCCCCAGATCTGGGAGCTGAACGATGTTGGTGGCATTCCCCATGAGTCTCATCCATTTCCCACTGATCTTACCATCATGTCACTTAGGACAGGAGCTGCTCTGAGGGCCCCTCAGCCTCGCTTCCTTGTTAATCTCTGTTGTTCTTTTTATTTAAGGGCGCAGGCTCCGGAGTGCATGTGCTGAGTAGTTAACAGCACCCAGGCTTGGTATCTCTGTTTCCCGACCCCGGATCAAATGCACATCCCCTGCATTGGAAGGCAGACTCTTAACCCCTGGACCACCAGGGAAGTCTCCACGTATGTGTGTTGTTCTGATTGGGCTCTCCATACTCCTCTGTGAGCCTCTACATTACTTTGGTCGAGTTTCTCTCCTCTCAACAGTTTTTTCAAACATTTGACAATTCCCTTCAATCTTCCATCCAACCTTTATCCCTCTAACAGGTGACCGTGCCACCTACTTTAGTTAGGAAATACAAGTGAGGTGCCACTCTATTAAGCTCCTGAGAAAAGGCTCAGCTATCCATCTTTAGTGCTTTGGGGCATCTCCGAGGGCCATGCCTCCCCACTTCAGCCTACTTGCTCTGTCCACTCCAATTTGCATCTGTTTTTCTGGCCTTTCTGCTCAAGCCCTATAGTGGGGCTGTGTTCCCTCTCCAGCCAGTTCATGTGTTGAAGCCCCAAGCCCCCATGTGATGGTACTGGACATGGAGCCTCTGGGGGGTAATTAGGTCAGGAAGGTGGAGCCCTCATGATGAGATGAGAGCCCTTCTGCAAAGAGATGCCAGAGAGCTTGCTTCTCTCTGCTTTCCACCAGGTGAGGACCTGGAGAGAAGGTGACTGTCTGCAAACCAGGAAGAAGGCCCTCTCTAGATACTGATCTGCCAGCACCTTGATCTTGGACTTCCCGGCATCCAGAACTGAAAAATGAGCTTGTTTAAGCCAGCCAGACGGGAATTTGTTTTTAACTTCTGGCTGCACCTTGCAGCTTTTGGGACCTCAGTTCCCCAACCAAGTAGCCAATTCATTGGAAGGTGGAATCTTAACCACTGGACTGCCAGGTTCCTATAGTATGTTGTTACAGGAGCCCAAAGTGACTCAAACCCTTGGCCCTCACTTCTGGCCATTTCCTCTTTCTTTATTCCCTATGTATTTATTTGGCTGTGCCAGGTCTTAGTCACAGCACGCAAACTCTTAGTTGCCGTACGTGGGATCTAGTTCCCTGACCAGGGATCAAGCCTGGGCTCCCTGCATTGGGAGTGTGGAGTCAGCCACTGGACCACCACGCAAGGCCCCTTTCCTCTCTCTTCCTCCTGCCCTATGCTCTGCATGTCCCTTGGTATTTCCTAGGGTCCTGTCTTAGATCCCCTTTTCTCCTTTCTCTGGTTTTCTCCCTGAGTGTATTCACTCACTCCCAGGGCTTCAGTTGCTATTTCTGTACCACTCCTAAATATCTTTTTTCCAGCTGTTTGGTTCCCCTGTGTGAGATAATAGAAAAAAAAATATATATATATATAGGTCTCTGTCCCAGGTTCCTGGTTTAGAGAGAGCGCCTAAAAGTCTTGTAATTTCCCAAGTGATAAGAGCACTGCCAGCATCTTTTTGTTCTAATATTTGGCTTTTGACTCTGTCCCTGACACAAGGCTCTTAAAACACTTGTAAAACTTCTCAGTCCAGATAAGAGCACAATGAACATCTTTTGTTTTAACGAGGTCACTCTGGGTGAGCTCCTGAATGGGAGCTGGTCACTAGAAAGACCAAGCCAGGCAGTATTAGAACATTGAAATTTCCTATCCTCTGACAGGACAGAGGGGCTGGACATGGAGTTAATAATTGATCATGCCTATGTGAGGAGGTCTCCATAAAATCCCAACCTTAGGAGTTCAGGGACTTTCCATGGTGGTAAATGCATCCACCTACGGGGAGGGTGTTGCATCCCAACTCCACGAGGACAGACACTTCTGTGCTCGGTAGTCATCCAGACCTCACCCTATAGATCTCAGGAAGGGAACACAGGAACCTCTGATGTGTAGCTAAGTTGGATGAAAGTTGGGGGTGACCTGGGGACCTACTTCTTGCAATTGGCTTCTGAAGTGGGCAGCGGTCTGAGCCCTTCACCTGTGGGATCTGACATTCGCTTCAGGTAGATTGTGTCAGAACTGAGTTAAATTGGAGGACACCCAGCTGCTATTGCAGAATTGTTTGGGGTGGGTTAAATCCACACATCTGGTGTCAGAGTGTTGGGTGGTATTCCTATGTGAGTAAAGAAGAAACACAGGAGGGAAGACCGTTTTTTCCTTAGATCCCCCTTTCCCCCACCATCCATTCTCTGTCTGGTTCTGTCTTGCTCTGGGTCTTGGGGCGCGGACCCCTGTGGGATGCATCAATAAGCTCTCTTGCTCTCCGGCATCTTTTTGGGAAGGAATCAGGAAATAAGAAGGTGGGAAAAGAAAGGAGTCCTCCGGCTGTGGTCTTTCTCCAGAGAGCTGCGAACGCAGAGCAAGAGACCCGGGAGGGTAGGACTAGGAAGAGGATAGGAGTTCAGGGCCGGGGCCAAGGAGAAAGAGCAAAGGGGCGGTCACAGGCTCCCTGGCTAAAATCCAGACAGGCGGAGCAAGAGGGCTCTTTCATCCAGGGCCAGCCCAGGGCTGAGGTTGCCGAGCTGGCTGGCCCGGCCCAGGCCCTCTCAGGGCGGGGAGGGGATTTCCTCGGGCTCCCTCCCCCGGGGGCTGGGCGAGCGGGAACCTGTGGGAGGATTTTAATTTGAGGAGCGACCTAGCAGTGTCTGGCAGGGCGGGAACTTCAGGACACCTGAGGCAGCCCCTTGGCCTGGAAGGCAGGGAGCAGCCTGTCTTGCCTGGGTCGCACCTTGGCCTCCCCAGGTAAGCTGCGGGCGCTGGGAGCCGTCAACCGGGTCCCTCCGTCGGGCGGGTGGGGTGGGGTGTGGGGGGAGCGCCCGAGGCCCAGGGCCGACCAAGGAGTGCTCCCTTGGCAACCTCCTTCCGGAGGAGGCTTCAGGAGTGTCCGCTCCTGCTACTTCCATTTTAAAAGTTGGCAGCAGGTTGGGCCAGGAGTCAGGGGGCTCTGACTCACCCCTCTCCCCGATGGTAGGAGGACCAGGTAATGCCATTGCCCCTCTGAGCCTTGGTCAGTCTCTCGCCTTTCTCTTCCTTCATCCTGTTCCGCTCAGTAACCTGTCCCCAACTCCAGCCCCCCAGAGCTCTCCTCCCTCCAACTGAGCCAGATCCTAGTCCTCCCTAGAATTCTGCCCCGGGGGGGGCCACAGCCAGGGCCGGGCAGTCTCTGCTGCCTCCTACCCAGCAAGTCTCCGAGATTGTTTCCTCCTTCCTGCTGTGGGTGTCTGAAGGATTCTGTGCACTCCTTAATATATTACTTTTTATTCTTTATTCATGATTCTCCGCCTGGGGTGGGGTGCGGGGATGGGGTGGGGCAGGGGGGACATCATGGGTGGGACACACAGTTTCCCTCTGCCTGGAAATGAGAGGACTGAAATTTATTTCACCAATGTATGGTGGTCATCTATAAGCAGGTGGCCAGCGTGACAGAGTGGAAACATTTTGGAGTCTTAGAGGCATTTGGATTGATATCCCCGCCTCTTCCTGAAGGCCAGTTTCCTAATCTCTATACAGTGTTGTTACGAGGAGGACATGAGATGTTGTTGTTGTTGTCGGGACTCCATGGACATGAGATGATACATATCAAACACCAAGCCCAGTGCTGGGCACACAGCAAGGCCTCCAGAAACACCTGTGCTTCTTTGACCGCTTCCTGCCATGACCCGCCCTAACTGCCGCCCTTCCCTCTTTATCTTGTAAAGATGTAGCAGACGCCCTTGGCATTGAAGGCACTTGAGCCAACCTGTAAACCCTGAGCTGGGAGTGAAGGGGCAGGTGGTGAAGGGAGGGGCTGAATAGGGAAAGCGCCGCCTGCCGTTTGAGGTTAGAACAGCGATCAGGGCTGGGACCTCCAGCTGGAAGGAAAGGAAGGCTCTCCCGCTGTGTTTCTGAAATTGCATACTTAGTCAGTGATGGGAACTGTCAGTTCCTACGACCCTCTCCGCTTGGCCTCAGGTTACAGACTTTTAAATGGGTAATCTCATTTAATCATAACCCTATTATATTATCCTCAGCTCCATGAAGATACAAACAGACAAAGGGATTTGCCTAAGGTCACATGGCTAATAATAAGTAGTGGATCCAGAATTCAAATCTAGGTCAGACTCTGGATTCCTTGGATTTTGTTCAAATCCTTATTGTCCTTCAAGTTTCTGTGTAACAGAAAGAACAAAAGGCCATCAGCCTTCCCCCAGCTTCCTCGACACTGGCGTCTCACTTGCTGTACATCAGTTCATCTCCTGCTCTGGGCTGCTTCATCCAGTTGGGAAGAGCATAGTCCTCCCCCAATTCATTCATTCAGTCACTCATTCACACTTCATTCATTCAGTCATGTGCTCTGTTGGTCCTATGTATAATGTTCACAGCTTATAGTGAGCACCCTGTATGTTTCTGATACAGAAATGTTCGAGGAATCTTTTGTGAGTAAGTTAATTCAAACAATCTGATTTGTTCTGTGGGTTCCATAATAGGGATTCAAAGATGAATAAAATAGGTCTTCCCTGGCGACTCAGTGGTAAAGAATATGCCTGCCAATGCAGGATACACGGGTTTGATTCCCTCATCTGGGAGGATCCCACATGCCGTGGAGCAACTAGGTCCATTCACCACAATTATTGAGCCTATGCTCTAGAGCCTGGGAGCTGCAACTACTGAAGCCCACTCACCCTAAATCCCATGATTTACAAGAGAAGCCACCGCAATGAGAAGCCTGCACACAATTAGAGAATAGCCCACACAGCAACAAAGACCCAGCACAGCCAAACGTAAATAAATAACTTTAAAAAGTGAATAAAACAGAAGTTCTATCTTCAGGGCTTTCAGAGCCTTGTGGAGGAGACAGTGATAATACAAAGAAGACAGTGGTACCCTAAGGGGGATTTAATTCTTCCATGTCTGCTTTATTCGTTACTGTATCCCTTGCTTAGCACAACGGCAGGTGCATAGTAGAGGTTTAATAAGGCTTTGCAGAGGAAATGTTAGGACAGAGTCTTGGAGAGGGTGTTAGGACTTGGCCAGGAGAACAAATTGGGGAGGGAAGATGTTCTGACAGAGAGAGATGCTCATGAAAAGGCCTAGTGGAGGGTGGGAGCTAGAATTGCTAGGTTCTCAGTAAGACCAAAACTAGCAGTTACCAGTGGGAAGAGAGAAAGGATCGGGCAAGATAGGAGTAGGAGACTGAGAGGTTCAGGCTACTATGTGTAAAATAAATAAGCTACAAGGATATATTATATAGCACAAGGAATATAGCCAATATTTTATAACAGCTTTAAATGGAGTATAACCTATAAAAATTTTGAATTACTATGTTGTACACCTGAAACTAACATATTATCACAAGTCAACTATACCTCAATAAAAAATTAATTAGAGGTAACAAGAAAAGAATGAAGGTGGATTCTCTTATAGACAGAAGATTATTCTGGTTTGGCTGATCGATTTGACAGTGAGGACTGGTTCTGACAATTGGATTATATGGCAGACATTTTGCATAAACTGAGCAAGCTAAATCTGTAGCTCCAAGGTTTGGAGGAAGATATATCTAAAGCATGTCTCTAATAAAGACTATGCCAGAAAGTTCTATCTTGCAACTGATTTTAATTTGTGAGAAATAATTTATTGTTGACTTAAAAATGTATGACAGTAACATAGTTTATCCAAAATTCTTATGGGGCTTCATGAGTAAAAATGTGAACACTACAGGTGTATGGCACACACAACATCATTGTCCAGGGATATTACAGTGGGGACTGATCAGGTGAGGTGAAGTGACTTGTCTGGAGATAAGCAAGAGGCAGAACTGTAGCAAGGACAAGGGTTTTCTAGGTGTGGCAATTCAGTGTTCTTTCCAAATTTCCTCCTTCTTCCTTCTTCTACTCACTTGGTGGTTTATTCAGCAAACAGTAAGTATCATTAAATGGGATAAAAAGGAAAATTTCCTACTTTCCTGGAGCTTATATTCTAGTAGAAAGAGACAGACAACAGATAAACCAGATCTTTATTTTTATATATTTATTTGACTGCATTGAGTCTTAGGCAGCGAAAGGAGAAGAGTGTGGCAGAGGATGAGATGGTTAGATAGCATTACCGACTCAACGGACATAAATCTGAGCAAACGCCAGGAAACAGTGAAGGACAGGGAAGCCTGGCTTGTATGCTCCAGTTCATGGGGTTGCAAAGAGCTGGACACAATTTAGCGATTGAAAACAACAACAACATTGAGTCTTAGTTGTCATACCAGAGATCTTCTTTGTTCTGTGTGGGACCACTATTGATTGTGGCTTGTGAGCTTCAGTTTGTTGCAGCACACGGGCCCTGGAGCTCCGGCTCAGTAGCTGCTTAGTTGCCCCATGGCATGTGGAATCTTCCCTCATAGCTCAGTCAGTAAAGAATCTGCCTGCAAGGCAGTAGACCCTCGTTCGATTCCTGGGTTGGGAAGATCCCCGGAGAAGGAAATGGCAATCCATTCTAGTCTTCTTGCCTGGAAAATCCCATGGACAGAGGAGCCTGGCAGGCTACAGTCCATGGGGTTGCAAGAGTCGGAGACAACTTAGTGACTAAACCAACTAACCAACGAATGTGGAATCTTAGTTCCTTGACCAGGGATTGAACCCACGTACCCTGCGTTGGAAGGTAGATTATTAACCACTAGACCACCAGGGAAATCCCCAAACCAGGTATTTTTAGATAGTTAAGTGCTGAAAGTGAGTTAGAAGGGGGATGTGATAGAGTATATGGGGTGGGCAGAGGTTGGGCTGCCACTACAGAGAGGCCAGAAAAAGAGCTAGCCTTGAGTGTATGTGCTGGGGTGTGGGGGGTGGGGTTTGGGGGGGTGGGGAGGAGAAAGTGTTAGGTAGCGGGAACAGCAAGTGCAAAGACCCTGAGACAGGAGAGAGCTTGGTGTGTGCTTGAGACAGAAAGAAGCCCTCCTGGTTGCAGCACAGAGATGTTGGGAGAGTAGCAGAAGGTTAAAAGAAGGCTGGAGATAGGTGGTGCAGGATTTATCAGCCATGTCAAGGATCCTGTATTTACCTTGAAGACAATGGGAAACCCTGAAGAGTTTTATTTATTTATATATTTATTTATTATTTTATTTATTTATGTATTGGCTGTGCTGGGTCTTGGTTGCTGTGTGTGGGCTTTCTTTAGTTGCAGTGAGCAGGGGCTACTCTCTAGTTGCTTTGTGGGGACTTCTCATGGAGGTGGCTTCTCTTGTTGCAGAGCATGGACTCTAGCGCGTGGGCTTCGGTAGTAGCCACACATGGGCTCAGTAGTTGTGACGCATAGGCCCAGTTGTTCCAGGGCATGTGAGATCCTCCCAGACCAAGGATTGAACAGTGTTCCCTGAATTGCCAAGTGGACTGCCAACCACTGGACCACCAGGAAAGCCCCCCACTGAAGGATTTTTAAGCAAACAGTTGGTGTACTCTGACATGATTGTTTTGTTTTGGAAGGGGGGCAGGAATGGAAACAGATGGAGATTAACTGAGAGGCTCTTTCAGGTGAGATAGCTGCTGTCTACTCTGCTAGGGGGTGTGAAGATGAATGGTGATAACGGGAAGGCAGAATGGTGTGGAATGTCATGTCATCCTCTAGATCTGATGAGGGGTGCTAGTAACTGTTGCTATATAACAAATCACTATAAAGCCTAGTAGCTTCCAACAACAGCCATTTGATTTTGTCATGAGTCTGTGGGTCTGGAATTTGGGTTTAAGTGAGGAGTTCTGCTGCATGTGGTGTCAGCTGAGATCATGCCCTTGGATGCACTGGGCTGGAAGGTTCAAGAAGGCTTCACTCATAGGTCTGGCACTTTGGTGCTCTTCGACGTGGTCTCTCTCTCCTTGTGAGTAGCTTGGACTTCCTCATGGGATGGTGGCCTCAGTGGAGGTCATTCTTCTTATATGATGTCAGACCTCAAAGAGGGAACATTCCAAGAGGAACAGAAGTACGGCTGCAGATCTCTGCAGGCCTGGCCTTGGGGGTATCCGGCACGACTTCTGCCTCACATCATCAGTCAAAACTACTCACAGGTCTGGCCCAGATTCAAGGTGGGGAAACAAAACCACCTTTTAGTGGAGAAGCAGCAAGTAATATGCTCCGTCTTTAATCTACCACACTTCTGGAAACTGAATAACCACAACTGCCCTGATGATACTGACCCACTTTAAAATCTAAAGCACCATTCAGTAGCGCCCTCTTCTTACCCGAGGTTTTGCTTTCCCCGGTTTCAGTTACCTGAAGTCAACCTTGGTTTGAAAATATTAAGTGGAAAATTCCAGAAATGAACAATTCATAAATTTTGAATTGTGCACTCTTCTGAGTAGCTTGATGAAATCTCAAGCTGTCCTGCTCCATCTGGCCCGGGACATGAATCATTTCTTTGTCTAATGTATCCTGCCCAGTCATCTAGCTGCAGTCTTGGTTATCAGTTGAGGTATGCCAAAGTCACCCTTATTTTACTTAATAATGTTTACCCCAAAACACAAGGGTAA